GAGAAGTGGTGAGAGTTACATTACATGCACAGCGGTATCCTGCTCTAAATAAATGTGGTTTTGGCCAGAACAGCAGCTGTCAAGTGCACAAGGTTGTATTTGTGGTGCAACAAAACATTTTGAAAGTATCTGTCTTACACAAAACAAGGCTTAAACTTAATATGCATCAGACATTGGGTGCGTTTACAGATTATGCGCTTATTTCTTCTAGTTCTATTTAAAGTCATGCCATGCATCTTTTTTGTCAGACAAAATTTTAAGAACATTCTTATTTGGAAACTAAGTATATTTGACATTTTTAGAAAGAACTCCCATTTTCTTCAGCATTAAATTTTAAGAAGTCACAAGACAAATACCGCTCACACTCGCTCATTGTCATGGAGAGTTGAGTAGTCAGGATTAGCTCGGAGAGAAGATGAGTTGCAGGTATGAAATATTTAGCCATTACACCGTGTTAAAATATCTTTTTACTCTGCTACACATCTTACAGATTGAGAAACACGATTCATCCAGTTGGAATAGGCCATATATTGTGCCAGCTTTTCTCATGCTCATGGCAACAGCAGTTGAAGCTATTCACTGAAGCTGTAATATATATTTTCTTCTTTCTGTTTCTACATTTCTTTTCCTTGTCTGCCGCTCTGTCTCCTGGAAGGCACACCTGAACTAAGACTAAATCTGAAAAAAAACAACATCACACAAAGCTAAAATATATCTCCCTAGCTGAGTTAGCTGCCTCTGGACAGACACGGTTTCTGTCCTCTGCCTCAAATCCCCTGGTCAAACAATGTTAGGGCATGTGTTTTTGAGTCTGTCTGCATTTAATTCACAGCTTACTGCTTTAATAGCTATAGCCCCCTGCTCGCTACTGAACCCAGGGGCCATGCTACCACCTGAGTCAGACTATAATAGCTTGTACTGAGATACAGCTGTTCAACTGTCTCCGACTGATGAAGCTGGATGAGCAGCCAGAAGTGTCTCAGCTGAGGCGAGATGTTCATTTTCTCAACATGTAGCATGTTGGCCCACCTCTGCCTGTGTATAAGGCCTAAACCATAACATGGAAACTGTCAGCAACGGATACTGTTTATAGAAACACTCACTTACACCCTGGTCATGCCCAGAGAAATCCTCTGTATCCAACACCTGTGAATACTAAAGCATGTTCACGCAGCAAAGCCTCACATCATCATGCAGGGCACCCTTCTAGGGGTTTCAACCAAAGCACACAATATTATAATACTAGTAGATGCATTTAAGCTTAGGTATTTTTGTGTCTGTGTAAGCGCTAATAGGAAAGAAAAAAAGACTGTAAGTGAAGGAGAGGGAGTGAATGAATGAGTGAAGGTGAATATAAAAGGACAGAGAAAAGCCCATGCTACTTTCCAACCACGTGTGCCAAGAGCCAAGTGTCTTTTAAAGACAAGTTGTCATTTCCCTCCATAAATCGACTGTCATGTACGACCAATAAGCAAACAAGACTAGGGTGAGGCTGTATCATCAGAGGAACATGAATGCCTATGCCACATTTCATGGAAATCCATTTAATAGTTGTGGAGGCATTTCACTAAAAACTACAACTCAGTCAGACAGCTCACGTGTGAAATATTTATTGCAGCAGTACAACATAGTTAGATATTGGCATTGGCGTTAGGAAATTTTGCAGCTTAAACAGACCATTACATTGGAAGGGTGCGTCTGGTTTGTGATTATGGAGAGTGAGGCATGTCGTGTGTATAGCAGTGCAGCTCGAGTCGACAGCCTGAACTGGCTTGCAGGCATCGCTCCATTTGTGGTAGTCTTATTAAAGCATGAAAATACCCCAAATAATTAAATTCATTCATTCAGTATGCAGAGATATTTTACTGGATAAGTGAAAAAACTTTGACCTTCTGGTGGAGTAAGATAAAGAGTCAGTAGGATTCATCCTCAATAATCATTGAGATGTTTCAGTCTGGACTAAAGTGATGGACCAATTTTTTGAGTCTAGGCAGATGGCTTTATACCAACTAAATGTGTGAATACTGAGGACATATATGCCAATCAGTTATGTGCTGGTTTCCGAAACATTGGTAATGACCTGCTAAACCCAATGATGAAGCAGCAGTCATCTTTTCTTTTCAACCTGTAGCGTTAATGAACAGGATTTTAGTATTCTGTTTGCCAAACATGCTTTTTTGCAGATGGATCAAAGAATGCAATTAAGAAAGACACATCAAGTTATTGTTTTGACACATTACTAAAATTTTAACACAATTTCACCAAAAAATTATTCTTACTTCACAAAGCCATAAAAATGATGACCAATATTGCTGCCTGCTATTATATTTTCCACTTTAGTTTAAAAAAAACAGTCACAATTTAACTGATAAAGCAAATGAATATGTAATGGAGAATCGTCCAAAAGAAAAAACAGTCAACATTAAAAGGGAACCATTTTACACTCCTGATCATTTAATATTGGACTGAAGGGAATGATGTGGAATCTCTTATCTGGACCTAAAAACTATGCCACGCTTGAAAGGACTCCAATGTGCACAAATGATGTATGAAGCAATGATGATTTTAAAGCTATTTGTTGCTTCCAGAGGGAGGCTGTTGGATCGTGCAGTCACACCAAGAGTGGGTTGTGAAAGATGGCCAGGTCTAGTGTTCTTAAAAATCAACTGATATTGGCATTGATTTGGGGACATTTTGTTCTCCTCCTTTTTCCTTTAGAGGCATCATCCAATGAAGTAGCTGTAGCAGTTTCAAGATATTTCTATGTCATGCCAGAGGGCTTCTTTATCTTCTATATTGAAGCACCAACCTGCTCCATCCATTTTGAATGTGCTCCGTGCTCTGTCCGATTACAAGGCTATGCACTGAGATGCTCAGTGTCAAGACAAAATATCTTAATGAATACTGTATGTAATAGAATGGATTCTGGTTTAAACCTGCAATATTGATGTTTTGTAGAAGATACAGAGAAAGATTAGCTTTCCTTCATCTGTTGTGCTTCTGGCCACTTGAATCTGAAATCTCCTCATAGCTCATGTTTCTGGTCTCCACCTGAGCAAAAAAGTTTGTTAACTGCTTCAATATGCTCACCAGCTATTTGCTAACTTTGTCCCTTTGCTGCTTAGTGCTGGGAAGGGAGCATACAGAAGACTTTTATAGCTTTCTTGTTTGCAGAAAACAGCTGTGTACTGTGGCAGAAAGCGATGCTATGGGATCAGTTACAGTGAACCAAAACAATAATGTTAAAGCTGCTTTAAGCTGCTTAAAACTACTTATTTAAGGTTAGACTATCACGTTTTAAATACATGTTGCTAGGAGATGGGACAATGAATACAGTCTAACTGTAAAATCAAATAAATTATATTATTGGCAGGAGGATCAAGTCGTGAGTTTATGCAAGAAGTTCCTACCAGCCTCTCCACAAACAGCATGCCTCGTTTTTTTTCTGCCTTCATTAAATTTAAACTTTGCAAGAGTTGGCTGTCTATCTGTAAGGCTGTCACCTCAGCTTTGAGCCCTGGTGCTATAGTAACAGTGTGAAGTGTTGACAGACAGATAGCAGCCCTCGGAATAGCATACACAAAACTGAGAACTTCTACAGTATAACAATTCAACAAAATGTTGAGGAACATTCATTAATGGAAACAACTAACTTACTAACTAGCTTATCCTTCCTTTTTGGTGGAGACTCCATCCATCCATCTATTTTGAAATCTATTTCTGTGCTGCATTTTTAGATTAAGCTTATAATAAGACTAATAAAACATCCTCATTACACATGCACTCTATTTTGTCAAATCCTCCACCAGCCTGCGCTTACAGGGACCCATCCTAGCACAGTCCAGGCCAGGGCAGATCCTTCTACTTTATGAGATACAAGCACAGGTGGATTTTTAAGATGCTCTACTTTTCAGATGAAATTCTCTCTCCCTCTCAGTCCTTTCCCCTTCTGTATTTATTTCCTTCCTTGTGTCTGTCCCAGTGGAAACAGATATGAATGGTGATAAGGAGCCAGATGGGAGCAAAGCTATGAATCCAGACTAGAGGCAGTAAAAATTTAGAGGTCCATTGTTAACTCTAGGGGGAGATATTGATTGGTGCTGTGTGTTAAGTGAAGCAACAACAATGTCAAACTAATAGCAGCTAAAGAAGGCTCATAAATATTGTGCCTACATCCTGACTTCTCCCAGCAATTTATACTCTAATTATATGATGGTCATTCCATGTCCACTGCAGGCATAATTGTAAGTGTAGCTAATATTTTTATGTTTATTTCAGCTCACAATAAAAGCAAGATTATTTTATAAATCAGACTAGCATTAATTATCCTGATGCGTTGAACCCAACTTTACCCCCACTGGAATAAAACAATGCATACTGGAGAATCAGGTTATTTAATTACAGTAAATTACAGTCTATTAAGGCGGAAAAAGAAAGTATAATATTTTTTTTGTTTGCCAATTTGCTGTGACGACATAATTGAATTTATGAGACGTGCAACAGCCATTGTGAGATGATGCAATAAAAACATACAAGGGCTTTAAAAAAAAAGGAATTTTTTTCTGTGTGGTTTGAATGACTTCATTTTTCTTCAAGTTAAAACAACAACAACTGCATTTCAGCACGTTGCATCAGTGAAAGACACCATTCGGAATACAAAGTCAAATCCGAAAACTGAACAAGTAGGTGCCTTTCATGGTCTAACAGTTGTCATTTCAGTTTAAATCAAATGTGACACACAGTATGCACTAAAGATGAGAGGCAAATATATTTCCAGGGTTGGACACAGCCACAGGCATTTTCAAAAAGCCCCATTTGCAAAGTTCATTCCTAAGACTTGAGTCCTTGCTACCAGAGATATGAATGCTATCCTCATAAGTTAAAGTGACAGGGGGGAAGGCTTGACAAGTTGCAAGTTATATGTCTGTCTACATTTCCTGTATGTTAACAGCATGTTTATCTGCGTATAAATGTACATAAGTATTTATTTATGGCTGTACCTGTCCCCAGGTCGGTGTGCTCCTGAGACATGTGCTGGCTCTGGTGGACCCATTCGCCATTGCACTTGAAGAAGATTTGAAGAGCAGGCCGAGCTTGACACCGGAGCTTGATGGGGTTACTCTTGACGATGTAAGCGTCAACGGGCTCTTCGAGGAAGTGGGGCAGTGTCCCGGACTGGCCATGCTGCAGGGCTTCACCTCGGGGACCTGAAGAATAAAATGAGAATCAAATGAGACTCAAACAGAACGACCGAACAAAATGGAATAGAAAATTTAATTATTAATTGACGACAGCAAGATGGCTGATGCAATCATCTCAGATTACTTCCCTGCCGACTAACCCTGCAGTTAAATCTTCAACAGAAAACCCCCACCTCAAAACTAGCTACCTCTCTGTCTTCCCTCAGCTCCCGCTATCCCTCACTCTCTCCCTCCCCCCTGAAGCCAGACCCAACTAGGAGCCATTACTCCTCACAGCGACGTCTCCCTCAAACAAATCACTTTGGAGCATGACGTCAGAAATAACACAACAATACAGCATCACCCGTATCCCCACAGTCCATTCTCCACCACAGCATTACAATGCAATAATTTACAGAAAGTCTGCTGTGGAGAAAATCCTCCCGAGTGCCACAGTGTTTAATATTTTAGGTACACAGGGATGTAAAGACAGTGCTACGGGGTACAGCAAACCTGCAAAATATTTATGATGAAAAAAATAACATTCTTGTCTAGTTTTAATGATTTATCTCATTAGTGTTATTATTTGTGAACATTATTTTATAGGGTAAGATGTTTATCTCCATTGGGGAATGTGAGGCATGCAGCAAGGGGTTATCTCAACTGCAATGTTTCCTCAGTATATGTTTTCCATCTCTCTATGAGTAACAAATAAAAGGAAAAATACAGTTTTGTTGGGGAGAAATGCTGATATTATGGAATATTCTCAGGAGAAGTGGCTGAGCTGTGGGACAAGGCCTACGGTTTTTACTATAACAAGTATTCTGTGTACTGTAAGTTTAAATACCTTCTGAAAACCACTGCACAATAGAGAGGTGTGACACTGCACAACACACAGTTGTTAAATATGCCAACCCTTTCCCCTGAAACAAAACAAAAAGTAGCACCAATTAACATCTCATTGAAATCAAACAAGATGGATACATCTTAATGTTGACCAGGCCACTCTACAGTAGTCCCATAAAGACTTCTTTGATCTCTCAGATGCCTGTGTTCACTAAAGACAGTTAATTCAGTTGAAGAATTCACCGACAACACACTGGCAAAACATTAACAAGCATTACTCCCTTCTTCCCCTGCCCGTCTGAGGTGTGTTCCAGTCAGCGCACGTTTTGCTACTTCTGAAGCCCCGCAAGTGTAATTACACTCTGTCTAATCCCCTAGTTTGCTGGAGCCTCTTTCATGCAAGTGTGAAGGGTTTAGTGAGGCAAACCGTCCTGCACCCGCCCCTCCCGATCCCAACTCCCCACTACACACTGCATGTTTTCTCCACAGTGATGGGTGTACCTCTGAAAACCCCATCAGGATTAGAGAACCCACTCTCTCTTTCTCTCTCCCTGCTCTCTAGCTAATCTAATCCTCCTACCTTTCCTGCCGGATGTCTCCTGATTGAGGGGAATAGATAAAAGACTACTGTGTGATTCCCTGGCTGTGAAAATCACAGCACTCGCTCAGTGTTCCTCTCCCCTCCGTGCGACACATTCACATTCTCTCCGTCGTTCCTGGAACTGAGGCTGAACAAAGAGACATGCTTTTAATTTCAAAATGACTAGCCCCAGGCAAGCTTTTCTTGTACAGAGTGCTCCAATTTGTTTTGCGCACGGAGCATTGACATGGCGTGTTTGTGTTTGGATGGATGCAAAACATAGACGTGACTACGCATCCAGACGATGATAGATGGGAACATGAATACACAAACACACAGTTGTCAAACCAAGCCAGAGCCTTCCATGTAATGACTCATTTGTTGATAGATCAGGTATTATACCAATGCTCACCAACATGACAGGTTAATGCCGCTGCAACTAATACCTCAAATATTCTCATCAACAGCCGTAAGGTTTAGGAAAGCATTACAGGCTCTATTTCACAGTTAGCTCTCCGTTGACTTTTCGTATTTTCATTTTTTATTTAGCAGCTGGGATAGTATTGCAGTAGACAGATTATGCGAGACACAAGAAAAGACACTCTGGTGTGATTTAACCTCAGGCTGGTGGTGGGACATGTGACTCTAGGGGGAAACACAAGCACTTAACCATCTCTGGGAACAGCGTAACGTTGTCTTTGCTCTTGAAATGGCTGAATATAGATCACAAAGTGCAATGCTAAGCAAGGCGGACTATAGGACGCCCCTCTGGCCCTGCACCTCAGAAAAACACACATGGAAATGAGAAAAATGCTGTTATTACGTGTGATGTGTCTCAGCTGAAGTGGCTTCAGAAATGCGATGGTGTTGATGGTGCTGCGGGTTTTTTCTGTGTGCTGTTCTAACATTCTCCATTCATTTACAACTCGCAGGGGCTGTTATTGGTTCATCTGCATGTTCCCAGGAAAGGCTGAAGACCAATATCTCTCCTCAATATGCCTCTCCGCTGTCACTCATGAGACCGCTGTGCCCCGCGCTTCACAGTTTTCACAGTGATCTACAACCAACGCTTCAGCCCAGCAATAACATATAAGGGGCACAGATACATCTAGCCCAGTCTGAGAGGGAAAACAAGACATCACTGCCAAAGGGCTGAGTGATGGCTCTATCAGACACCCTCTCTCTCTCTTTCTTTCTCTCTCTCTGCCTCCCGGTCTGCCTCACGCACAAACAAACTTTTGTCCTGGAAATGCAGTCCGCTAATGGTGCATTGGCTGTGATGCAACCTGTCAAAGAACTTACAAACGTTTTCATTTCCTCAAGTACAGCAAACACTCCATCTCTCCACATGCAAAATTAAAAGCAATGAGTAAGTGTGGTCTCTTATGTGAGTTCAATGTATTCATAGCTTTTAGTGAAAATCTAAAAGAAATGAGGGGGAAAGAGCCCCTAGCTGACTGGACTAATTTGGTAAAGCCTTTGGGTGGTAGCCCAGGCTGTTTCACACAGAGGAAGATGACTGCTGCTCCAGTACACTCATACTGATTTAGAGGGACTGAAAGCAGCAGCCAGGCAGATGTTTGCCAAATTCGGCCCGCTGTAACCTCATATCCTGGCAGACAAACTGCGGTCCTTTTTTCATCTCAAACACAATTTGATGCTATTGATAATATGGCTTATTTCCATTGTGGATCACAACTTAAATAAGCATTTTGGCCTTCTGGTGTAATTTAATTCTCAACAGTTTGTAAGAGTATGTGGTAACTGTCTTCAGGTGAAGCAGTGTAATGTGTATTTTATCTAACTGAGACAAAGTTTGAAGATGATCAAGGACAACAGTCGGCACTCCTAGCACTTCTACAGAAACACCGGGCACCAGCAGGCATATGTCCTCTCCCTGCTGCTTTTTGTTCTGTATAGAAGCAACCAGGGGAGTGTGTATACCAACCCCCTTGTCATCAAATTTACAGATGACATAGACCTTCCTTCCCCATACTGCTCAGACTCAAGATCACAGCCAAGTACTGACTGACTGAGTCCATCCAGTGATGCAACGACCCATGCCTGAAGCACAATATTGTAAAAACAGAGAAATGCTGGCGGATCTCACAAAACAACAAGCTGTGAAGAGTGTCACATCTAGGGCTTTCCTAAATACGATTTGTGTGGTCTTTGAAGCTTCAGTGAGAATAACGATGATTAGGGAGGGACAAATGTTTCACTACAGAGCCGCTGATAACAACCCACAATTTGTCTTTGTTTCAACCTGTCTTAAAAGAGACAACAACAAAAAAAGAAAAGAAAAGTAATTTGGACAACGATAACCATGGCAACGGTAGAAGGGTTGAATCGTCCGGGTCAGTCCTGCATGCATCCACAGTTTGTGAAGAAACAGAGTACAACAAAGCAGTATTTTGGGTACTGTCTTAATGATAATGAGCTCTTGAATAGAACACTGAAGTTGTTCTCAAGAATTAACATCGAACTGTTTAAGTCCTTTTATAAACAGATAAATAAGAACAATCGTCACAACATCCTCTAACATTGTCACTGTCAGCACCATGAACTTGTCATTCATCTGCTGGTTCCACTTACTGAATATCAAAAAAAAGAAGCACCTTCAGAGCACCGCAACACCTGCTCACCCAGCAACAGGCCACCACGTAGGACATTTCACCACAAATGAGAAACAGCTCAAAAAGCCAGCAGCAACCTCGACACCTGCACAAACACTTTGAATTCCACTTCCTGTGAAGGAGAACTGATTCTGGCTTTTGCCCTCTTAACCTGAACCTCGTGCTTCTGCTGCATTTTAAATGAAATAATTGTTATACCTCTATAACGTGCAAACCCCTTGTATGCATGGGATACTGAACACAAGTTCAATCAGTTTGACAATTTGTTCAAAACAATTGGTCTTGGGTTAATATGGGTTATTGTTGTTTGTGCAAGATCCGGGTTCACAACTGCAGCTTCATGTTACTCGCCTAACAGGGTTGTCATGTCATTAAAATGTGTTGAGATTCAACAGAATTTTAGGATTTCTTTCGTTTATTTGATCACCTTATGAAAAGTGTCTTGGCAAATTTCTGATCATATTAAAGACAGACTGCGTGTATCTATACTAATAACCTATAGCATGTAGGATACCTGTAGTTACAACAGTAAACCAAGTTCCTCCCTGCAGAGTCCAACCTGTCTAATAATTTGTTTTGAGACATTCACACAAAACATGTTCGCTTCAGTTTGAAAAAGTTATAATGGATACAAGTGACCTTGCACTTGCAGTTTCATTAACCACAACGCTCTCCACACTTTTCTGATTTTCTATGCAAGTTTACCTATTTGAGTCCCTTTTGTGCCTGCCATTTCAGTTGCTCTTCGTGAATGATGTTGATTAAAACCGTATTGAATTCAAATAGCCACTGTTACAATGGCACATGTGTGAACTCTAATTTCAAACCTCCAACAGGTACGAGTCACCAAAAACTAATCTCCTGCTAATAATGTAAGCGAATTACCAGCATGAACAGGCAGCAAAAAGGAGACAGTGTGCGTGTTTGCGTGAAAGAAAGATAAAGAAACACAGAGAGTGGGAGAA